CTGTGAGGTGTAATGCCACGACACTCTACCCAGGGGGACAGCTTGAGGCTCTGTCTCAAAAAAAAAAAAAAAAAAAAAATTCTTTTATTAAATTAGGCATGGTGGGACATGCCAATAGTCCTAGCTACTTAGGAAGCTGGTGCGGAAGAATTGTTTGAGCCCATGAGTTTGAGGTTGCAGTGAGCTATAATCATACCACTACACTCTAGCCCAGGCAGCATTTCAAGACCCTATTTCAAAAAAAAATCTAAGAGCTAATTCTTTGACAAATCCAAAAAGATAAACCACTAAATGATCTTACTAAAGGAAAACTAAAAACTGCATTTCTATTTCTACTGATAAACTTGAAAGCCTGAATAAAATGAATAATTTTGTAGGATATTAAAAATTACCAAAATGGAATCAAGAAGAGATAGAACATGTAAGTGGACAATAACATGGAGAAATTGAAAAAAATATCAAGTAGCCAATGTCATAGAATACTGAGATCAGATAAGTGAACTCTTTTTTTTTCTTTTGAGACAGAGTCTCACTATGTCGCCCTTGGTAGAGTGCCATGGCGTTGCAGCTCACAACAACCTCAAACTCTTGGGCTTATGCGATTCTCTTGCCTCAGCTTCCCAAGTAGCTGGGACTACAGGTGCCCACCACCGTGCCCACCTACTTTTTTTTTTTTTTTTTTTTTGCAGTTGTCATTGTTATTTAGCAGGCCCAGGTTGGGCTCAAACCTGCCAGCTTTAGTGCATACTCACTGAGCAATAGGCGCTGAGCCTTCTTCTTTTAAAACTACTGATTCTGGGGAAAAAACAAAACAAAAATAACCTAATGATTCTGGGTGGGCAAGCTGGCTCACACCTATAATCCCAGCACTTTTGAAGGCAGGATCTCTTGAGGTGAAGATTCAAGACCAGCTTGGAAAACATAGTGAGACCCTATTTCTATTAAATTTTTTTTTTTTGCAGTTTTTGGCCAGGGCTGGGTTTGAACCTGTCACCTCCAGCATATGGGTTCAGCGCCCTGGCTCCTTTGAGCCACAGGTACTGCCCTTAAAATTTTTTTTCAAAATTCGCTGGATGTGGCTCAGCACCTATAGCTCAACCAGCTAAGGCGCCAGCCATGTACACCTAAGGTGGCGGGTTCGAATCCCCAGCCCGGACCTGCCAAACAACAATGACGGCTGCAACCAAAAAATAGCCGGG